ACTTGTATATGTTTGAATAAAGATAAAACTTCATGCAGTAAACTTCAGTGTGTGCATGACCTGATCGTTTTATGCGTGCATCTGAATACATTTTGCGAGGGCAAACTTTTCCCATCTCTTGAGACCTACAGCAGGTACCCAGGTAGGGATGGGTAATAGGAGGGTGGGTACCCGGGTAGTACATTTGGACTCATCCCAGCCCTAACATCTTGCAACAAGCATGGGATACTGGGACCTATTCTGCACTGAAATGCCAACTAGTTCGCAGTGTCTATCTACACCCATTGTGAGATCTACAGCAGAATAATAGAGCTCTAGTAGCAATAGTGGTCATTGTGTAAGCTAAACTCATGAGGACATTTATATGCACCTTTCCTTGTATGTTTGAATATTGATAATGAAAATGTAAATTTATGTCAAAATTATAATGTAAAGGGAAGTTCCCGATTTTATGTCCTGGATAATGTTTTTAGGTTGAGAAATAGTAACTAGAAATATGATCTGCCGAGTGTATGAATTTGTAATGCCTACATTGAACGTAATAATGTGTCCTATTATCCATAATGATCTCATCACTTGGACAGGGAAGCTGGTTTTGCCACCTTAAGTATGTCTAGAGATGAATGAATCAGCATGTTATTATCGAATTAATAGAAACATTACACCATGTAATGGGTACATTTAAGCAAAGAATACACATATTGATATGACTTTATATTTTGCAGTCCAGATAGGGGTTTCAGCAATGGAAATGAGGATAAGTTTTCTGACATTTATCTTCTAGCTAGGTTTCTGCTAGAGATCAAAGAGATTATTCACCTGGAAGTGGAATAATATGTAACCATGGAAACATAAGATGAAGTAAAAATGTCTGAAGTTTGAAAATTAATAATGCTGAGTTTATCAGCTTGAAAGTTCTCCCTGATGCAATAATTGCAACATTGTGCCCTTGGCATGAGTCTACCACTTGTTTGATAATTACTTTCTAGCAAACATATACAAAGCTCATAAAGAGTAAGATGTGTAGATTTTACAGTGTATTTTGTGTACTTGTCATCTTTGCTTCAGGCTATCAACAGTTTTTGGAATCTGAACCAGAAGAATTTGCCGTTTAGACACCCCCCCTCCCAGGAAAAATAATGTCAAAGGTCAATAGTATCTTGGCTAGAGGATAAGGTTTTCGGCAAGAGATAGAGTTAACTTATGTGTGCTAGATTGGGTGTAGGGTTTCCCAGTCAAGCAAGGGTTGTGTTTAGTGGGGCAGTTTCATAAGCCGCTGTTTACATGCTGATGGGGCATTGCTTAATTCAAACTGAGCCGTTCATGAAATATTTTGTAAATCTAGGTTAGAATGTCAGCTGTTTTATGAGCTGTATAAAATTCTGTTTGGGTTTCTGGAGGAAGTAAGGACAACCATGTACTCATCCTACACACCAAACAGCTGAATGTCAGGTCGACTGGATCTGTGCAATAAAACAACAGATTGCAACAGATGCTCAGATGAATATTAATTTAAAAGTGTACAGGTTGATTTTATTTCCTGGCGGGATATTTCAGTTGTAAGATCTCAAAATTATTGGATTATTTGATCAGTGTTGATGAGTATAATTTCATTATTTGTATCTGATACCCATAAAGATTCGGGGCAGAAAAGGTCTTCAGCAACCCATGCTTACCGTAAAAGGCAACAATGCTTGTCGAAAGAGGTGACATTATGAAAGGTTGGTTTTATCCGCAAGAACATAAGCAAACATAGTTAGAGTCAATATATGTGTATAATTTAAGATATATTTAATTTATGATTGAAATTCAAGTGGCTTTCAACTAACAGTTTCAGTCCACTAGTCCTTATAATGATAACATATAGCAAAACCCTTCAAAATGGCAAATTTCTACTAGTTCTTATGATACCTTAAATATTGGGCAGTTTTGCAAGGACTATAGGACTAGTGCCAATTTCTAACGCTGGTCTTTTGTTTTTTTATACAACCGTGGACTTATGGTTAATGATAATGCTGACAGTTTTATTGTGTGAATTAAAGTCTAAACTGTTCCGGTTTTGTTATATATTTAACTTGTTAATTGTCGTGTCATCATCTTCATAAAATAATTAAAAAATAATATGGCATATGAATATCATATTCACGGAAAGGTTGTGTTATAATTTTTAATTCGTTTCTCAGTAACAGATAGGGGGCTTTGTTGTTTTGAATACAGTACTGCTCCTACAATACAAAATAGAATAGAAACTGTAAATGGAAAAGGATAAAAATGCAATTATTTACACACGCACATCTTGCTTTACAACATACCATTTAATCAATAGCCAACATCCAGCATTCTTAGAGCTGTTTTTTAAACCAGTGAACAGGATTAGAAATTAAATGTATGTTTTCACTAGTCCACAAAAACGATCTGCTACAGAGTTGCCCTCTATCTAATGGTCGCAATGGTTGCCCACAAGGAAATGTCACTAGTTGTAACTGAACTTTACTTGCCTTGGACAAGCCCTTGACACGAACCCTGATGAAATGAGGAAATGCTTAGTTGATTAAAATTGGTTATGCTTTCAAGTTAACTAGTTCCACTTTTTGCACAACCTTTACTGCCTTAGAGACAAATGAGCTCTAGATGTAGTGTGGTAATAAAACCTTGATGCATGTTCAGGGAAGTAGTACACTAGCTCAGTGGTTGACAAGTAGACATTGTCACAATCTGCTTCAGTTCTCTTCACCTGTTTGTGAGCAATCACTTGCAACCATTCAACAAGAAAACAGCAAGGGTACTGTGACACCACCAGACTCGGAGATTGATTAACTTTGCAGGAAAGCAATATTTTGGTATAACCTTGTGGGGAGAATAGCTCCATAATACCCAATGTTTCTCATAAGAGCCGGAGCAGTGGGTCACCCTTGTGGTTAAAGCTTCACCAAACGCCTGGGTTCGATCCCCCACATTGGTTGAATGTGTGAAGCCCATTTCTGGTGTACCACACCGTAATATTGCTGGAATTTTGCTTAAAGCTGTGTAAACTCCAACTCACGGGTGGCCCAGTCGTCTAAGGCACCGCGATTCGCTGTGCAGAGTTGCGTCCATTGGGCACGCCAGAAACCTATGATTGTGGGTTCGTATCCCCGTTCACCCCGATTATGTTTCTAGGTTTGTCAGCACCATACCCATGCTCGTGGGTTTCACTGAGGTTGTAAACGTCTGAGACCTGCATCACTTCGGGCTTTCCTCCCACATTAAGCTGACACGCCGTGATATAACTGGAATACTGTTAAAAGCGGTGTTAAACCCAACCCACTCACTTCCAAGGGTTGACTGATGAGAATCAGATATTACAATGTGTGACCTGGGTTATTGTGTGTCAGTCAGTCCTGAGGGACTAGATCATTGCTCATACTGTCAATCACTTATTACCCTTTGCCTTGCCCTGTCGATTATTAATAGACCGATGGGTTACAGCTGGAATGCTGCAGCATAAACCAATAGTGTACTCTAACTATATTGGTCGTGTACCATGACACGTACAGCACATCTTGCACCTCCATGGGGATTCCAGATTAGAATAGGTCCCCAGCAACCTACGCTTGTAAGATTCAATTTGATGAACAGGGTGGTCAGGTTTATTGACTTATGCAGCACAATTTTGCACCCCCATGAGGATTACCGATCAGAATAAGTCCCCAGCAACCTATGCTTGTACATGTAGTAAGAATCATCTAAATGGACAGGGTTGTCAGACTTGATATGGATGACTGTGTCATCTTCTGATGGGATATTGAGCATAATATCTGGTAAGGCCAGTCCAGATTTGAATATGTGCAGACCGTCATATAGCTGGAACAGTTGACTGGAGCATTGAATGAAAAACAGACAAACATAGCACATTTTGTGGATGATCAGAGGCACAGGGGCATTATGATCTACAACTGAGTGGTAGGCATTCCGGTTGCACATGGCTTCCCTTCCATGTGAATCCTCAGCCCTCCCTGACCTTGTCCCAAGTAGCTGCTTCTGAGGGTGTCTCTTATCCTGGTCTGTCTGTGTCAAGTATGAGTGACTCATGATTTATAAACACATTCTTGTCCCTACTAATTACGGTATCAATTGCATTATGGGCTGCTGAGGGGCTCCGCTGCCTCCTGCTTGGTTCATTCATAGCTAGGCACTGTTGAAGTGCTGGGGGTTATCATTTTAGGATTATTATATTCTAGCCGGTTTTCTCCTCAATTTCTGTGGCATAATTTATTGGTTCTGTTTTTAATGCAAATAAACAGAGCATGTTAAGGTTGCTGCTGTGATAATGTAAGAGATTATTGCACACAGTGGCAAACTGCAAAACATATGGGACATGCTGGGTTGTCATGACGCAATGTGAATATCTGTGTTACCATGGTGAAATATGGGGTAAAAGTATTTTCTTTATGTTTACAACTTAATCTGAAGTTAGTGAGTGAGTTGTGTTTAACGCCACTTTTAACGGTATTCCAGTTATATCATGGCGTGTCAGCTTAATGTGGGAGGAAAGCCCGAAGTGATGCAGGTCTCAGACGTTTACCACTTAGGTGAAACCCACGAGCACGGGTATGGTGCTGACAAACCTAGAAACATAATCCGGGTGAACGGGAATTCGATCCCACAATCATCAGTTGTGGATTAAACATGTTAACATTATTCAGTTTCAGTTTCAATTATTGCTGAATCAATAGAGTGAAACTACACTTTGGAATGAATGACCGATAATTTCTGATTTTTCTCTATTTGATTATTTATGATATTTTTTCAAAATTCTTAGTATAAGTATATTGATGTCATATACTAAGTGACAGATTTGACATTAGGAATCAATTATGACAACTATGCAATATGTCAGCTATATGCTCTTTGATATTAAAATCAAAACATTTCAGCTGTTCAGTTAGAAAATTTACTTTTCAATAAATAGGTTTCAGTTGATGGAAAGATGTTAATAAGTATGTTTTTTCTCTTTTCAGTGAGTTAGCCATTGTGGCTGCTCGAGCCTCTGTTATGATATACGATGATGCCAACAGGAAGTGGATACCAAGTGGCGCCACCCAGGGGCTGTCGAAAGTTCAGATATACCACCATACCACACAGAACTCCTTCAGGGTAGTGGGGCGCAAACTGCAGGATCATGAGGTGAGTTCAGATCTATGTGGGTGGTGGGGTAGCCTCATGGTTTAAGCGTTCGCTCGTCATGCCGAAGACCTGGGTTCGATTCCCAACATGGGTACAATGTTGTGAAGCCAATTTGTGGTGTCCCCCCACCATGATATTGCTGGAATATTGCTTAAAGCGGCATAAAACCATACTCAGTCACTCACTCAGATTTATGTTCAGACTGTCTTAACACAGGTACTCAGGGAAGATCTGGATTAGCCATGGTCTTCAGCTTGTCGTAAGGGGGGACTAACGGGATTGGTTTGTCAGGCTTACTGACTTAAATGATGCATGTCTTTGTATTCCAATTTTGTAGGACCCGTGAAGATTCGGGATAGAATAGGTCTTCAGCAACCCATGCTTGCCGTAAAAGGCGACTATGCTTGTCGTAAGAGGCGACTAATGGGATCAGGTGGTCAGGCTCGCTGACTTGGTTGATACATGTCATGGATCCCAATGTGCGTGGATCGATGCTCATGATATTAATCACTGGATTGTCTGGTCCAGACTCGATTATTTACATACCACCGTCATATAGCTGGAATATTGCTGAGTGTGGCGTTAAACAACAAACCAACCAACCAATTCAATTGTGTAGATCGATGCTCATGATGTCCATCACTGGATTGTCTGGTCCAGACTCGATTTTTGTACAGACCGCTTTCATATACATGTATCTGGAATATTGTTGGGTGTGGAGTTAAGCAACAGACAAAGTAACAAACATAACACAGGTGTTTGAGATTAAGAATGAATATACCAGTACAAAATTCAATATTAAGTGTTCCCGAGAAAACCTCAAGGAAGCCAGGACCCCACATAATGTCTGACTCTCCTCGGGATGCATGTAAACCAGGACGTCTGGTAATTCCAAATTAGGATATTTTGCAAATTAGGGACCTGTGTCGTTAGCTCATGGTGAGTTCAGAATGTTCATTCTGGTGAGTGGTATCACTGGGTCATGTCGGTAAGTTTTGTTGACTCAACTCCAGTACACGGGTAGGATACAAGAGGACAGTCAATAAAAGATTATGTTAGGAAGGAGTTGAAGCACCTTATGACATGTTACTTTGACAGTTGCCTACTATTTACACAACATGTTCGTCTTATTTATGGACAGTATATGAATTTAATATGATCCATATGTTTATAAACATACAAACACAGAAGTTTGATTACAGCACATGTTTGAAATTATTTTGATTGGTTTACCGGTGTTTGTTGTTGTTACTTTTAATCTAGAGTAAATATTTCAATAATGGAACTATTCAACCATAAACCATGAGTACGGGTTCAGGTCCTTTGCACATATGAGATTTGTATGCAAATTTGGTACCTGTATTATTAATCAGGACCTGTTCCGGTCCTGTGTAGTTAGAGAATGTAAGAGGTAAGAAACTGGTAGGGTGGTCAGGCTGTCAGGCGGTCAGGCGGTCAGGCTGGTGCACTTGGTTGATGGCATGTCATCATGTACCAACTCTGTGAGATATTGCTCATCATAACAACCTCTGGTTTGTCTGACCCAGACTCATGCAGGCCACTTTGATATAGTTGGAATAAAGCTCACTCCCGAAAGAAACAATAAATGAAACACAGATCTGTGTATTTGGGTAAATTACGTTTTAAATCAACTGAAATATGCAGCATATTAAATATGCATTAAAAACTATAAACATGCTATTGAAATAAAATTAATGTGTGTGTGTGTGTGTGTGTATATATATATATATATATAACAATTGCGTATAATATTACAACTGTTAGATAAAATGATTGTGTATCAGCCGATCGCCAAATTCACTTACCAACAGTTACAATCGGAAAAGCTTCTGCGACAAACATACTGTACTGATAGATGCCAATTGAAAAGCAGAGCGTGCCTAGTCAATGTACATGTTGTATCTTGATTAGTTGCAGATTGGTAATTAAAACAATAGCGCCTTTCTTACAATGCTAGGTTTTGCAAACAAAAAATGGCTTCCTGGAGAGGGAGCCGCAAGCAGACGCAGACGGGTAAACTACTATTCACATGGTTTTAAATGATTTACAGGGAATCTTACAAAACATGTTTTTTAAGTTAAATTCCCAAATATCAAGAAACAGGTGGGTAAAACAAATTGAATACCCTCTAAAACTTGTGGATACCCAATCAAAATCAAACCCCTGGGTAAATTACCCAAATTACCAAAAGCTTGTCTATAGCTCTGGAAACGAATAAACTTAAACACACCTAGCCCTCAGCATATTTAACTAGCTAACTAGTTATTTGTCAAGTTCCATTCATATTCCTCACTCTGTATCTATGTATCCATTGTCACCTTTATAAAAGAGATTCAAAAGGACCAGGCACCTACTACTTGAATGACTATAGTAACCAAGTGAAATGAAAGAAAAAGAATTCTGTTGAGGCCAAATCTCATTAAAATCTTTTACTGTGATGTGATACCGCTCTGTTTCAAGATCTGTGGATACTACTTTGACTGCCCAATCTAAATGAAGGCTGCATGACTTCTTGAGCCAATCAGATGCCCACTTTCTGAAACAATTTGACTTAACTACTCTACCACCTCAATTCAGATATTTTGTTGTTCACAAAAGAATATTCACGCAGGACACACATATATGCCTTCAATGGCACTCCCTTCTAGGTGTATAGATGCCACGTAGCACAGAAACGTCAAGGTGTAGAAAATATCCACAACAACATAATGGCATAGTCTTCATGATCTACGTCCAGGAAAGTTTTTTAAGCTCGTTATCAAGATACAGGAATCAGAATTAGTTGTTTGCATCCTTTGCTTGCTCATACCGAGAATTTACACAACACTGATTGGCTGTTCCGAACGTTCACCTGATATGAGGTGTCCTCACGTATCGTATCCAAGTAAAAGACATGATTGTAATGAGATAGTGCTGGGGCATTATTCAGCTTGATGTGAATACATTTTGGTTTTAAAGGTTAATCTCTGTTGAGGTACATCATTCCAAATACTGAACATGTACAGGGGAGATAAGAGATGTATTTCTCAGATTATCTTTTTCTGACAGTTATTTTGTGCCTAATTTATGTAATTATTACTCACCAAAATCTCTTTTTTTCAGGTGGTTATAAACTGTGCCATATTAAAAGGATTAAAATATAACCAGGCTACAGCAACATTTCATCAATGGCGGGACAGCCGGCAAGTTTATGGATTAAATTTTGCTAGCAAGGAAGAAGCAGAACACTTTGCTCATGCCATGATGACAGCATTAGACACATTGAACAGTAAGTTGACAGCACACACACCTCGGCATGGCATGTTGGTTCATGGTTTATACTATATTGTCATTCCGTTCACAAAGATTCAGTTGTCAGTTATGTAAGCTCAGTTAATTCCGTTTATACCATCAATTCCATTATTGCCCAGTGGCCCCAAGATGCAGCAACTCTTTGTACACAGTTGTGTCCCTTAGATGCCAGGATCCGCTGGTCGTGGGTTGAATCCCTGATTATGATTCTAGAATTATTGTATTTGTGGTTTCACAAAAGTTCTCCACCATCCACTGTGGGTTTTGTTCCACATCTACGGTGATTAAGCTGATTTGTCATGATGTAGCAGAAATACTGTTCAAAGTGACATTATAATTAACCATTCACTGCCTTTGATGGTGAAATGCTTTGAAATGATATTGTTTTTATCATTTATTTTTTTTCCAGACTACAGATATGGCAAGGCATGTCAAACTTGCTTTAAAAGTTTTGTTTTTAGAAAGTATGCTAAACGTCAAATAATTCAGGAAAATCTTGATACTTTGAAATGATTGAGATAGTCAGACACAGTGAGCTTGATTTTGTTGCAAAACAGATGAGAATTAGGTGTGGTAATTAGGTAATCAGGATGTGTTTTTTTGTCTAGAACTACTGCATGGTTGCATTGGTTTGAGATGATACACAAAGCATGACTCACTCACACTTTCAATCATGGTTTGTCAACACAAGAACCTAACTTATGACACAAGACCAGCATGCCATGCACCTGTACATCACAGTCACTAGATCACCTTCTACCTTATTCTCTCAGGTGTGGGTATCATTATGGCTGAGCAGAATTTATCTCCCTGTAGACCTCCTACAGCAACAGACATGGTGTGTTAATTCAATGGCTATTTGCTTTGCTTCATCTGTCTGTGTGTAGGCTGATTTTCTCCCGACTGATAAATAAAACACTGTCTACAATAGCACATGCTATTTCAGATAGTATCTTTAGTGATTAACGTCAATTTGGTTTAGGTTACCATCACCTTACACTATTGATTTGGAGCTGCAGAAATAGATACAGTCTACTTCCACATATTTGGGATGAACATATCTCATTACTTAATATGAAGACCTGAAAAAGTTCTTAGCTTTCTATTGCTGTGTCTGACAGGTTTAAATTGATTATTTGCGACATGGTATAGAGGGCTCTAATGTGTCCTGACAATTGAAAGCATCCCCTATAGGGTTAATCCCTGGAGATTATTTGTGTCATTTATGGTTCCTGCAGAATCAATACCCAAACTTTGAAATTTGTGATTGACTATTTTGCCTGTTTATAACTGAGTAAGAAGATATATTGGGGTGTCAAGTGCGAAATCCTGCAGGACTATTGATCCAGGGTAAATGCCGTATTTATCCTGAAGACTCAAGATAAATATTTGATCTATACATTTGTAGAGGAATATGGACCGGTTTTCGATCCAGGTGTGATGTGCGGCTGGTTTTATGACAGAGTTGAGTAAGCAATCTAGAACACAACCGACATGGGTTTAGCTCTTGAATTTGCGAGAATCACATGTATAACACATACAATATAAAGTGGAACGTTATTGCTGCTGTGAAATAATGACGCCAGCATAAGTGTCTGTATCTGATATAGAATTGCTTGACATTTCATCTACAGAGTCAATGCTATTGTAATGCTTGACAGTATTGAGCTATCAAGTGATATTTGTCAGTTGTTCTATGAAAGTGTTTGCCATTGGCCATTTACATTTGCTGACTCAGGAGATCGATTGTTTCGGTTCATCTCAAGGGATACTTCAGAACTGTTTGATATTTTAGTGTTTTGTATATGACTGATTAGCAGAGGAGTTTTTAGCAACAATACTGTTTTGAGTTTGTTATGTCGACGGAATATATCATGTTTAAAATAAATCAACAGTGTTGCTGTGGTGAATCTTTGGAAAACATCAAATAAATCTTTATTTCTATTTAGGAAAAGGTCATGACATTCATCAATAACCTGTCAACAGGTCATAGCTCCTTTCGAAACATCAGTAATCATCCTGCAAAATGTTTTTAAGAGAAATTCTGTACATTGTATTAGAAATTACATTTTCTAAGACATTTTTCATTAAAAGTACAATGAATATCACGATGTTTGAAGTTTTGGCCTCTTTAACAATTATTCAGTGTTTTTGTCATTTATTCCATTTCCAGTATGATTTAAAGCCTTTTTCTAATATAAACAGAAATAAAATAGTTCAGGTCAGCTGTTTCATTCTGTCAGCTTTCATTACTTACTACCACCAAGACATCACCAGTATTGAGTAACAGTGTGGCTTACGTTTTGTTCCTTCTTTCTGTCATTAATAAAACATTACCCAGAGGAAATCTGGTAGAAGATTTCACTGTCGCCAGACACAAATAGCAAGCTAGGTTGTTTGGCTGATTTGATGCAGTGTTTTGATAGGTTGATGAATGTCATGTCCAGTTTGTGCAAAATGACATCAATTACACTGGTCCGACATCTGTCAATCTCCCTATGTCTGGTAGATTGCGAATTATGTCCTCCAGTACGCTGTCTTGACAGCCAGGGTCGGTCAATAACTGATCAGCTACTTCATGTGTCCACTGTCAAGGATACGTAGCTTTTTTCTGATATGTCACAGGAAAATTACTGTTAACATCTGTCTAGAAAATTGACTTATGGCTGTAACGTGTTTCATCAGTGTCAGTGAGCGTGGAAATATTGTCATGAATAGATCATTCAAAGTAGTGTGAATAATACAATTGGTTACATGCTGTTATTCATATTAATATTTGGCAGTGCTATATTTCTTGATGTCAGTGATTTTAATTGATAATGATAAAATTGGGTTCTTTCTTTCTGTTTTTGATAAATTAATGTATTCATATTGCTGCTCTTCACATCAAGTTTACAATCGCAGTAGTTAAAATAGCCCCAATATTCACTCCTAGTAGCAAATCAAGAATACATTTTCCTTAGCTGTAAAATCTTTGTAATATAAACCAATATAAAACCCATGAGTGTTGATTTTGAATGCGGTGGTTTATATATTCTGTTCAGTGATATTCATGAGCAACTTGATTAGATTAAAGATGAATTGAAACAGTCAACCTTATCTCATATAGATTGCATACATAATCCCTATTACATTTGTTGCTCAGTACAGTAGAGTTCTTTATTGGATTATCTGCCATCATATTAGGTGCATCTTTAAGTGAACTTGGTATGCCTTTTGGTACTCTTTACCACTAAAAGAGCTGTATCAATCAATAAGTGGTTTGATGAAGTGCTAGAGATTGAAACACAGAACACTGACATGAAACCATCCCCCAAAGTAGATCAATTGGTGTTTCCTAGTTGAGTCTAGAGCCTCCAGACATGTCCGACATCAGTCTGTGATCACAGTAATTAGATAAAACAAGACAATGGCAGGAGGGATGGTAGGGTGGAGATGGGAGGATGGTTGGAGGATGCAGTGTCAGGGCCCACCATGCCAGCTGCTCTCTACTGTTGAATACATTGATATGGGATAACTGAGTTAATCCACAGGCAATCAGCATGGTGATTATTGCCACAGGAGCTGTGGGAGACTCGCCAGGAAAACCATAGATCAAATTATCTGGGCTGTCCAGCACTGCTGATACATTGGACATTTTTTCATGTTCCAATACTTACTTCCTTCAGCAGAGTGTTTAGAGTTGGTTTTCTATTTTTCAAATGATTCAATTGATTTCATTTGATTTTGTTTTTGTTTTCCTCATAGAAATATTGCCCGATGTCATACAGCTCGAGTATTGCTTAAACCCATGAAGATGTGAGTTAGAATAGGTCTTCAGCAACCCATGCTTGCCGTGAGAGGCGACTATTCTTGTCTGTAGAGGCGATCAGGTGGTCAGACTCGCTGACTTGGTTGATGCATGTCATCATGTCCCAATTGCGTAGTTCATTGCTCATGATGTCAATCACTGGATTGTCTGGCACAGACTTAATTATTTACAGACTGCCGTTATATAGCTGGAATATTGCCGAGTGTAGTGTTAAACAACAAAGAAACATTAAAAATATATTGGTTTACTCTAACCCTGTTTACCTATTTTGTTATATCAGAAATTGATTGGTAGTTGATTTTGTTTGAGATGAACTAAATGATAGGGATCCATTGTACTATTATGCCATTAATCCCTTTGATGTCAAAATGTGTCAGTACTGTCAGTTCTTAAAAACAAATAATTGGTCAGGAAATGGGTCATAAAGGTTTTTGAGTTTTCAGTGTTTCTTGATGAGTTTGGTTTGTTGTATGTGTCAACACCATGTTTTATGCTGGCCTTATGAAGAGAGTTTATGCCAGGTTTAGAAGTTATTTTCTCCTGTTTGTAAACTGTTCGTGTGTCTACATCCAGGAGATACATCCAGTGCTATTTTGCCTTTTACGTCCAATAGAATCTGTTTTGGCAGATAATCAAGACTGAATATTCTCTGACGTTGATGCTTTGTATATATATTTGCTATTCAGGTCCACCATGTACAAGTTGTAAGGGTGAGTGAGTGAATATGGTTGTATGCCGCTTTTAGCAATATTCTAGCAATATCAAAGCAGGGGACACCAGAAATGGGCCTCACACATTGTACCCATGTCGGGAACCGAACCTGGGTCTCTGGCGTGACAAGTGAATGCTTTAACCACTAGGCTTCCCAACCGCCCAACAAGTTGTAAGGTGGTAGTCACTTATCGTGAACATGGCCTTATAATCCATTCCAACAGTGCTGAAACAACAGTAGGATTCTGATGCAAATCTATTTGAATATCAGATGGGAGAGTTTACAAAAATATCTTCTTTGCACATTCATAAACCATGGCCATTATGTTTGACAGATGATGAATAGAAACAGTTTATTGCCACTGAACCACTTTGATCAAGGATCACAGAAAATAAACATTAACGGCATGATAAGCCATGTGTGAAATACACTTTACCCTTGTGTATAATTGCAG